AAACCCAAAGTATTTCATATTTGCCTTTTTGGTGAATTTACCATAATCGTGCTGCAATTTGAATGATATTTAAGTTATCCATGGGTCACTATGCAGCTGTGCTTCTCCACAAGGGGGAGCTGTTAGTACTCAAACCTTTGTGTCCATTGTTGAAATGGAGGAAGTAAACATACAGTGCACATGTTGGAAGTTAGACATTGCGTGCATATGTAGTAAAAGATTTAACAAAGTCTAGGCCAGAGGTCGGCAACCCAAATGTTAAGAAGAGACATTTTGTCCTTTCCACAAAGATCAAACCACCTTGTCAGCTACATTTTATGTCCATTTTACTATCTTGGCTGTAAATTTGTCTCAGTATGTGCAAGTATAGGCTAAAATGTAATATAAATGAAAGCGCAGACTTACTTTGCTCTGCTTTAAGCTTTAGCTCAGCTACAGCTGCTTTTCTCGCATCTCCAGCAGGAAACTTTTAAGGAAAAGTAAAATAGTTTCTTGTAAAATGTCGGTCAGCGTTGGACTTTTTGCGAGGCTGAAGTCTCATTCACCAGCTTCTTGTTCGAAATTTCCTGCTCCACCTTGAATGGAGCCTGAGGTGCCAGAATGTAACTGTTGTACCATTTAAGGTGGAACGTGAAAATTCCAAAAAGAAGCTGGAGAACAAGAAGCTGATTTTAGCTTCGTGACTTTTTAGTGTTCGACAGTTTCTCATTGCAGATTAAATGTTTCAGGAAACCAGCTGGAGTAATTATAAATGACTCCATTCGTCTCTAAATTATCGATGTTCGTCTTAAATCTCTCTCTTTGCCGTTTCGTTAACTACTGGCTAGGTGCCCAGCAGTCTGGCACCAATCTTCAGGGTTAAAGTCTGAGTTTTGAGCCCTGACTTTGGTAGAGCTCTTCATTTCAGTAGAGTGATTTATAAATGCCCTGAGTGAGATGGTCTCTCTCTCTCTCTCTCACTCTCTCTCTCTCTCTGTCTGTCTATGTCTCTCTCTCTTTCGCTACTTAGTCTTGTTCACTAGAGACACAGGAAACGTGTGCGCGAAGATGTATTAGACTCTTCCTTTCATTTTTCTTTCTTTCTTTCATATACTCTTACGCAGTCCCTCCAAAACCCCATACGCTATTCATCTCACATCTCACTCTCTTTCTTCCTCTTAATAAAAGGAGTGAGTTGGGGCTCGTGTGTGTTAAGAGTTGGTAAAGGTGTGGATGGATTAGATTGAATGGGCAGGATTAGGGGGGAATGTTTTGAGTGTATCTGCTCATGGGAGATGGATGCTGGAGAGCAATGAAAACACTCTTGCAGGGTGGAGTTTACATCTGTAGTTGGGTTACCATGGACTGGACCAAAGCAGAAAATGATGCAGCTCAGTTGTGGTTGCATTTTAGTTGTGGTTCGCTTAGTGTTCACACTGACATAGTTGACGTTGAACCGTAAGATGTAAACAAAAGCCATATGGTTAAAAAAGGCACGACTGCCTTAACAGTGCGTTTCGTAATTAAACACATAGAAAAGGTTTGTAGAGAAGAGACAATTCATCTGTGCTTGATCTGTATAGATTAGGAATTCATCAATACTGATACCGCTCACTCATACTCGTCCTCATAAAACGTTTTTGACATAATTTGAAAATGCCTGTTGCCCTTTACATTGAATGGACCAAATGAAATGACTTAAAATTACTTGGAAAAAAGTCTGGTTCCATTGACTTACATTAAAAGTAAAGTAGGTTTTTTCCTTCTCCTGTAAAGTTATCGTTTTGGAGGTTTTCTTCCGACAACAGCGTTATACTAACATACAATACCACCTGATATCACGTGACATAAGCCCAGTGTACATGTCCTAATGAACAAATGACTCAAGCTGGCAGTGAACTAGGATCTGCATACACAGCGAAGTGTTGCTGACTCCATTGCAGTCGAACACAAAGTCATCAGTCAGTTTTAACATTCTGTCTTGGCATATTCCCGCCAGGAATACACGGTCTTACATGCAAATCTTACCTGTTACATCACCTACAGTCTACATTAATTCTCTACTTTTGAATGTGTAATTTATAAAAAGTAGCTGAAGAATATTGTAATATTGAATTTATTGTAATATTGAATTTATTGTAAAAATACATACTGGATACTGTGAAAAACAACACCTTTACATATTTAGCAGACATTTCTATCCAAAAAGGTAAGAATGGGGAGTGTAGTGCCAGAAGCGTTCCTGCATTGATGGGGAACTGAACTCCGATCCTCCCGTTTGGAGTGGTGCTGTTATCCACTACGCTAACCAGCACCACTCCGATCCTCCCGTTTGGAGTGGTGCTGTTATCCACTATGCTAACCAGCCACTTTAACATTTACCTTTTTGTATTTTTTACAGCCAGGTACTCATTTTTCAGCTAAATTATGCTTTTCAGTAGCCTCTAGATAAGTGGCTAATAGATGTGTGCAAACGTTTGTCTGGCGCTGTATTTATTCTCTTTTGTTGTTTGTTTTGCAGGGCTTCATGCCTTGAGGAGAGTTTTGGGCTCTGTCCCAACCCTCACCGACCCTGAGGTGATGGACAGAGTGAAGGTCACAACCTCTGACCTCAGACTGGCCCTGACGCACGTTAAACCCAGCGCGATGAGAGAAGTCGCTATTGACGTGCCAAAGGTATGGTGGACACTGGTCACCTACAGAAGTTAGCAGAGAGTCACTAACAATGAGTGGATGAGTGAGTGAATGAATGAATGGGGGGGAAATGAAGCAGATTTAAGATCAAAAGTGAATTTTACATTGTTTTCAATCCAAAATAACCAATGAAATATGGAATGAAAGTTATTTACAGAAATGACTTGGCAAAAAATCAGACCTGCACAATTCTTCCCTTACCTCAAACATATCAGATCAGCAACGACAAGTTTGGTATCTAAAATTTGCTTAGTTTTGTTCTTGAGCTACAAGTAATGAAAGCCTAAAGCTACCCATCATCATCGTACATGTAAGTTCGCAAAATCTTTTGCCCTGAAACTATAAAGTTAGTGTAGCTATCAAGCTTATTTGCTTCCAATGTTTGCTTATACTCCACCAGTTAGCATGGTACAAACTGCATGCCTTAATCATCACACACTCGCTTCAAACCATGTCCGGTTTTTAAGTAGTCTCAAATTTTGTTTCAAATATACAACCCCATAGACTTTCAGAATTCAGTGGCTATGCAGTGTCCATTTTTATAGATAACAGTTTGTCTTACAGTGTAAGAAACTGCATAAGCAAGTCTAACTAAACATGATCATGTAGGCAGGCGTGATGTTAATTGATAGAGTATAAATAGCTGAGACTACACAGCAGTTTATTGCTAACTGCTTTGAAATCATTAAGTAGGATAATAGGTAGGATAATAAGTAGGATTTATAGTCCATGTTGTGTGAATGAGCGTCATGCATCCAGTCCTGGTTTTACATTTACACACAAAAGTGAAGTGTTCTGTGCTTCCCTGTGTAGTGCTGCCCCAAGAAAAAAACTTCAGAAACAGATTTTTTTTGCTTTTAATGTTAATGTTTAGTTGTGTCTAATTGTGACTAATTTAATAGTCGAATAATCTATCGATTACTGAAACGAATAATCGATTATTCCGTTTATGAATCAATACATTTCCAAATAACTCTTATGTAGCTGTCAGCTTTTAAATTTAGATTTTTTGTTGTTTTATGCATTGTTAACTAACAATGAAGACAATAAAGATGAGTAACTTATTCAAAAATGCACGGTTTTAATGAACTTTCCTGCTAATACAAAACATAAACAAAATTCCAATCTTTTTCCTGTCAAAATTTAAAACCAAGGATGTGCAAAGTAGCAGCAACAAAGAAACAAAACTAAATACAAACAGATACTCCCCGCGCAGAGAAGAGGCGCTCTGATGGAGCGGATGGGAAAGTGGGGAACGAGTGTGACAAACTTGTTCTCTATGAACAGTTAAATGAACGATTTTGTGCCAACACTTCATTTTAGCGGTAACCCTTCGTCCAGCTGCCTTGTATGCCCGCTGAGAACTACCTCCTGAAACTGTTTGCGAGTGGAGCCAATCGTTCGCTGAATTTAAACGCACCGGTGGCCTCGACATTTAGACAACGATGCAGTGTTTAAAACTGTAAGCGTTATCTGGAAAGGCTTTACAAATAGCACAACTGACTGCTATTTTCTGAGTTTAGCTCCCGCACCTTTAAGGCTGCCATCACGCTTTTATTAGCTCTCCAGTAAGAAGTAATGTCAAAACATTCCTGGTGAGCACAGAAAAGACGTGTGATGACGTCACCAATTAATAATTAATTAATTAAATTAATTGCTAACTAAGTTGGTCGTCAATTTTAGTTGACCAAGTCGAATAATCGTTGCACCTCTATTGTGGAGTCAGTTTTTCCAAATAAAACGATTTTTCCTCAAACTTTCGCTTAAGTGGCCTATGTTTTTAAGCATTCAGACAAAGCAGAAATGATGCCAACAAGTAATAATGGCAAGAAATTTGTCATTTTTCTTTAATCCAGTGTGAGTCAAACCTAAATACACTGATAACAGCCCATTACACGGCAAAAAAAAAAAAAAACTCTTTAATGCTTAATGCTTAATCCTTAATGCTTTGTCGCCTCCCCTCTGGCGACAACAAAAACTCTTAGATGTAATGAATGTTAATGTAAATTGTGAAAATATTGATGTTTGTTGATGAATTTGTCCCAATTTAGCCATTTCTCAAACAATTGCAAATGTTCCCAGATTAGTTTCATTTAGTTAGGGAACCTAGTTCCACCATATTCCACTAATATAGCTATATTTTTTAAGCTGCATTGACTCCAAACACCCTGTCAGCTTGTTATCTCAGGTATTTAATAGACATTAAGATCAGTGTCAGACCTTTGAAGATACATTTACTTTGTTTGTACCTTGATGAACAAAAATGTGACTGTACCACACAGCACCTCTTTTCTCGTTACTTTTTAGCTCCGGTGCAAAACTAAAGAGGCAAACCTCAGACGTGAAACATGTCTTGGCTGATTTACTACATAAAATTGTGTAAATCAGGTTTTTGGCTAAACTCTTGCTTTAAGAGAGCTTGACCTTAAAATAAAAAACAGGTTGATAGTGAGCGAGCGAGCGAGTGAGTGAGGCTGAGTAATGCATGCATGAACAGAGGCAGGTGGCAACGGAACAAGGGAGAACTTTCTTTTGTGTGGGGATGTGAGCGTGCTGTGTTTTGGTTTGTGCGGCGTGCGGAAGGAAGTGGCGTAAAAGGCGCTAATCTCTGTTTATAGACAGTTTACATCTCACACCTGCCCAGAGGAGAATGGCTGCAAATATTAGAGACGGATAAAGAAAAGAAAAAAAAAAAAGTGAAGTGCTTAACAGACCTGCACATTGTCTGTTTAATGACACGCAGACACCAAATAGGCAGAGGGAAGAGCTGCATCGGGGGTCTTCAAATGATTTTGTTGATGTCTTGTGCAAACACCACACACACACACACACAACGAGTGCCAACTGTGGGTTGGCATAGGGTCATTGCAGCTCCTGAACTAAAGTTGAGCCCAGTCCTTGTGCAAAGCCTGAGAAAAGCCATGGTCAGGGACACAGGAAGGTTGGTTGGGCACCCACGTTTCGTACCTTCAAACCGTCTCCAGATATTACTGCGGTATACAGTATTACCAGAGTGGGCTGGGGGGCTGCTGGGGTAAAAGCGGCATAAATGACATGAACCATTTATGACACTTTTGTGCCTCTCATATATAATCAAAAGCTTTACTTCACTTACGTGGTCACCAAATAAGTGAATACAATGCGTGATTTAATAAATGTCAAACCATCTAACAATTGCTAAAGGCCTCTAAAAGAGTGCTGCTAACTAGGAGAGCTGACCAGAGGAGAGGAGAATTACCACTCTGTAGTGTCTTCCAGGTTTCTGAAACACTAGAGGGCGCTCCCGAGCGAGTCCAAAATGAATGGGTTAAGAGGGAACAATTGAGCAAAAACACAGTTTATAAATGCTTAAATATGTTAATATAAAAGAATACATTTATTTCCTGAACACAGAACAGCTTAAACCATTTTAACACCACCGTTATATTTTTAAATGCTTTTGAACTCCAGTTATGGGAGTTTGAAACAATGCTTTTTGTGTGTGAGCGGCTCCATTAGCCAACCAATCAGCACTTAGTAGTAGTAATGCTAGCGTCCTGCTGCTCAAAACCCATTTGCTTTAGAAAAAAAGGAAACATATAGGTAGGTTTTCTTTGCTTTGTTAGTTTAGTGCATCCTTCTACTTTCTAAAAGTAAAGGAAGTTTCTGGGCAAGTGTTTCACTATTTAAACTTTTTTGTTTTTACTCGTTTAGCTCCATTCACCCCATTTCATTGAGGATTCCTGTTTTTGAAATAACGGGGGAAATAGGAAGAGGCCAGGCTCCTCTGGAGACGACCAGGTTAGCATTAGCTTAGCTAGCACGATGCATACTCGATTCTGGCTATCTACATCACTGACACAAGTTAAGATGATAATGATTTAAATCTGAGGGAGTGAAGTCGACCAACTGGCGTTGAAGGGACAGAAAGGTGCAAAGTAAACTTGTTCTGTCGTGTTTGGATTTGTAGCCTGATTGGTGAAGCTAAGCTAACTTAACTTTAGCTTGGCAAGCAGGCTACAGACCCAAACAGTGGACTCATTACAGTACAGGCATGTCTGAGACAGTAAATGTTGAGTGACAGAAAGCCTGCTAGGGGCTGTAGTGATTTGGCTAAGCTAACAATACCTTAGTTAGCAGGCCAAACATGCCACACACTAAAGCACAGGCTTGATTCCAGCTAACTGATGCTAAAATGACTCCTGTTTAGAGGATGAAAAGACGAAATCAGACCTTTTCTGTAGTGTGTGTAGCTCTTAGCCGTCGCTGAGGGACTGTCATGCGAGGTTTTTCCTGGCTTTCATTTTTCTCCTCCTTCTGTCAGCACCACCTATCTGTCAGCTCCGTCACCACCAGTTAGTGAGCTCCACTAAAATATAAATTGGTGCAATGTGTTTATTTAGTCATTCAGAACTGGAATAGAAAATTGACAAGTTATAATTTTTAAACATGCTTTTTAAACACGGCAATGTACCTTATTATTGTTACACTGCCCATATATAAGCGTCTAGTTATGGATGAACTATGCAGATTTTCTGAACGGCGACCAATCAGATTGTTGACATGTGGCATGCAAACAGATTGTGTCAGGCCTAGAGTCAAGCTAAAAAACAGCTAATGCATTAAAAATGTGGGACATCATCATCACTTTAGTGGATTTTTTCAAGTTTAAAATACAGTGTATTGGGTCACTTTGGGGCTCAGAAATAGCCCACAACTCTGCACACTTTTCCTATAGACACCTAAAAATGCTTTTCTTTCAGCGACACACCCCCAAAGCATTGAGCACTTCTCAAGGGAAGTGATTTGGCTTGCTGTAATGAAAATGCAGTGGTAAACAACTGGAGAAGACTTTCACAATATATAAATAAAACTTAAAAATCCAGACTCCACCCTAAAACATGCAGACATAGCTCTTTATTGGCCACTCATTAGATTAATATTTAGTTATTTTTATCAGTTGTAGTTAAACCGTTAAATGTTCAAGTTTGGGCATGCAGCCCCCTCAGCACCCCTGTGTGGTCTGAAAGTAGCAGAGATAGTGAAATTGCATTTAACAGTTGGAGAACAGTAGGGATTTTAAGCATGCAGGGTTGCGAAGGCAGCCAGAAAAACTGTGCTGTTTTCCAGAAGCGCGTATCTGACTTGCTGCTTATTTCCCTATGTAGGCCAGTGGTACATCACGAGTTTTAGCTGACCTAATTTTGCGCTTTTGTTGTATTTAAAATTAGAGTTTCGTTTTCAGTTGACACCGACGCTATCACTGATGAGGATTCAGAGCATATTTTTCAAAGACGCATGTAATTTAATGGATTTCCCCATTTTTCATCGTATGATCTGCTCATAGTATTGCAAGAGACGACAGTAATGCTAAACAGTCACTTGGTTAGTAAATTACAGAAAGTAATCAGAGTTGACTGATTTACTTTACATCACTCTTTTACCGTTGGAGCTTTGATTTCTGCTGCTATGGCTGTAGTGAAGCGTTCCTCTGGTTGCTTTAGCCGTCTCTAATGCTGCTTAAGCATAAAGCCCCCTCTTTAGCCAAGATGGAGAATAACGAGGGCGACAAAGCTACAGCTGGTCGGTAAACTTTAAACAATGATAAAACCACCACTTCCACCAAACACGCTCCCATAAGTATACTTACAAAGAACTTGGTATGCATCTCAGTACCAATCAGTGGATCGGTCGCAGGGGGAGGTTACAAGAGCTACATTACAGGTGCGTTTTTGTTCATCAAGGTACAAACTATGTAAATGTACCCTGAAAGGTACAACAAAGGTCTTAAGGTCCAACTGTGTACCTGAAATGAGTTTTAAATGTACACTGACTTCATTTTCTCAAGGGAAAGGTGAATATTTGTTCCTTTTCATTTTGTTTTCAAATAGAAAAATAACATAAAAGTATTAGTCAATGCAACTTAATAACATTATTGCAACAGAATGTGATACAAATCTGTTCCCTAAATAAAGGTACTGAAGATGCACCCTTAAAGGGGAACTCCACCGATTTAGCAAACATACTTAATTATTCAATAGTTTAGATGTGAACAAAATCATTCAGAGTGGTTCAGCGTAAAATGCGCCTTTCCAAAGAAATTTAGAGTGCAAATTGTTCACCGTTATAGTACTAGAACTACACACAGTGGTTACGAATGCATGACTCAAAACCTGCAATATTGTTTTGTGATAGTTTTGTTATAAAGTTTTGGCCTAAATAGTTTAGTATGAACTTTTACTCCAGAATTAGTTCTGTGTTTCCTCTCAAAACCGCCTTCTCAACTGAGATCACTGCGCGCAAGCTAACATGCTTTTGTTGTTACTAGCCTGTAGCTACAGCCGTTCAACACGGCTTACGCCAGCAGCAGCTTTTGTTTACAGTTTATTTTTGCGGTTGTCTTACCTATTTTTGGCAGATTGCAGTGTAAGCAGAAGACTTGGAGGAGCTCTGTTTGCAAAATGTTATAGATCCATATCAATTTGGACCAGAAAAGTTGCAGCGGTTTAAAGAAGAGAGAGAGCCGAGAGAGAGAGAGAGAGAGAGAAAGAGAGAGAGAGAGAGAGAGAGAGAGAGAGAGAGAATCCACCGGTGCCGACGCACAGCAACCCAGGGCAAATGGAAAGTGCTGGTGTCAACAACAAAATACTTGCTACTCCGCTTACCAGTTGATGTAGTAGGATAGTGAGGTAGATAGTTTTTGTATTTTTTGCATGGCCCACGTTAGACAGTCTGTTCTAAGCTAACGGCTAACAGTAATATATGCCCGGTGGCTAATGGCAACCAATTTATTTCATTCGTAAACATTTCTTACTTTGATTCCAGTTTCTGCTGGAGTGAAACTGCGGGTGTGTAAACCTGCGGCTCTACAGCTCTGCAGTCAGACCCTTCTCCAAAACGCGTTCAGGGCAGAGAGGCACACGCAGGGCATTGCAAGGAAAAAATCGTATCCAATGAAAACGTATTTCTTTCAATTTAGCCATTATCGCTATGACATATAAAACTTACAAGACGTGTAAGTTCACTGTTCTTTTTGGATAGCAGGTAAAATGGTGATATTTGTAGTGCAGACATAACGACGGCTGGTTCCTAGTACTGCTAATGGTGAACAGTTCTGGCGCGGTAAATTTCTCCAGAAAGGCGCATTTCACACCAAACCACTCCGAATGATTTTGTTTACATCTAAACCATTAAATGAGTTCCCCTTTAAAGGTACTGCCGTTTTGCTTCACAAAGTCATTTTTGTTTGAAGTATACTTAAAAGTGTACAGCGCGCAGACTGGCAAAAGCAGGCAAAGTGCCAAAGCCATACCTCAGCTGACACGCCAAGTGTTCCACTTGTACAATGGAACGGTGAGGTGGGGGTGTCGCTGTGCAACTTTTAATAAACTCAAAATGTGAAAGAAAATAAGTTACTTATTATATATCCATGAGTCTGGCTCAGGTGTACATGTACTTCTCTCATTTGATTAGGGCTTAAGTTAACATTTCTTTTAGTCATTTTAGGACTTAAGTTTAAATTTATTTGATTTTTTAGGACATAATTTGAAATTTATTTACTCATTGATTTATTTTGGCCCCAATGCCCCCAAACCACATATTTTTGACTTAAGTAGCCACACACACACACACACACAGACACCAGTCACGCTTGCTGGACGGAGGCCGGAGAAGGGATGTTTTGAGGGGTTTTGTGTGCAAGACACACACGCGTGCACACATACACAAGCATCCTGTCCTGTATATATGTGTGTGTGTGTGTGTGTGAGATGTAACCATACAGGAAGAGGCTCTCGCATCATCCTGCCACTAATTGGAATCAGGTTGCCGTGGCAGTGTGTCGCCCTGGGCAGTGTAGCTTTGCTTCCTGTGTTGGACTGAGATCACCCCAGTACACACACTCAGGAAAGAGCAGAGGATTAGGAGAGAGCAAGCAAGAGTGAGAGAGAGAGGGAGAGAGAAGAGGTTTCCTCTGAAAGGAAGGTGATGGTTTCCAGCAGGCTGATCAGATCCAGATGAGCGCCAACATTTGCTTCTCATTTTTATATAAGAAACTTCCAGTGCAGCCACACGCCTTGGCCCCGGAGGCTCTAGTGTGTGTGTGTTTGTTTTTGTACATTTTCAAGACAAAAATATCCTGATTTTGAGAAAAAGAGAAAAACAGGACTTACAGGATCAACCAAATACTCCTGGGTTTGGAACCTACTTTTTACCAAAGTTCCATGTTACATTTTTTTGCAATGTAACTGAAGGAGTAAAACCGTAAACCATTTTGGGTCATGAGATTGGTCCCGTGAGCCAGACTTCTGGTTATTTTCAGATAAGTCTGATGCACTTTGTAGCTAATTGTAGCCAAGGACCGCCTACTTTGACAGGAAAGGGGCGTTTGACTGACATACTGAATAACCAACTATAGACTATTGTTTTTGTGCAATTTGTAGCAGCAGGTGATTTTCAAAACTGGGCTACACAGTCTTGAGTGTGTAGATTCTGTTCTTATCTAAGAACAAATCCCAAATAATCTTCGTGAAAAGTGCGTAAGTGGGTTTTAAGAAGAAATTTCTGGGTGGTGGATCATTCTCAGTACTGTAGTGACACTGTTGTGGTGGTGAAGTGTTAGGATGTGTTGAGCTGGTATGAGTGGATCAGACACGGCAGTGCGTTTTTAAGCACTGTGTCCACTCACTGTCCACTCTATTATACAGACCTACCTTAATGTTCCACCTTGTTGATGTAAAGTCAAAGACGATAGCTGATCTGCTGCTGCACAGTTTGTGTTAGTCATCCGGTGGACTTTTATCAGTGGTCACACGATGCTGCCCACAGGACACTGTTGGCTAAATATTTTTGGTTGGTGGACTATTCTCAGTCCAGCAGTGACACAGAGGTGTTTAGAAACTCCAGCAGCACTGCTGTGCCTGATCCACTCGTACCAGCACAACACACACTAACACACCACCACCACGTCAGTGTCACTGCAGTGCTGAGAATGATCCACCTCCCAAATAGTACCTGCTCTGTGGTGGTCCTGTGGGGGTCTTGACAATTTAGGATCAGTGTAAAAAAGGGTATGAAGTGGTTAAAGGTCAGCTTAATATTGCTTTCCTACACTGGCTCCTCTATAGCTCTAAGCTAAAGGGTCCTAAAATTGTTTTGAAGGTCTTCTGTTTTTGAATGTGTACAGGTACGTTGGAGTGACGTTGGTGGTATGGAGGATGTAAAGCTGAAGCTGAAACAGGCTGTTGAATGGCCCCTGAAGCACCCAGAAGCTTTCGCTCGGCTGGGCATTGCACCCCCTAAAGGAGTCCTGCTGTACGGCCCGCCTGGCTGCTCCAAAACCATGATTGCCAAAGCACTTGCTAACGAGAGCCAGCTCAACTTCCTCGCCATTAAGGTAACATCTGGCCATTAAATATCTGGGGACACCTGGCTTTTCTAAATGTTTTTCAACAAAGGAGCATGTTTTCTTTCTTTGTTGGTTTGCAAGAACTTAACATATTAACCAATTCAAACCTCATGTGACACAGAGACTTGCATTAAACTAATGTTAATGCTAGCATACGCATACGCATGTTGCTATATTTGTGTTGTTTTGAGTCTATAAAGCAAAGTAAGAAATGTATTAATAAACATATAATATATGCTCCGACACGAAATAAAGCAGAGTATACCAGTCATTTCTTGAACTTTAAAAAATTGTCAACCCTGGATTTCATTATATAATAGTGTATAATGTGAAAATCTTTACTTTATAGTTACTTATAAGTACTTTTATACATATCTATCTATCTATCTATCTATCTCGCTTGTCTCCCTTTCTTTTCTATCTCCTCCCTTGGTCTCCATCTCTATCTTTACCTGTGTTTGTTTGTTTGTTGGTTTGTTTCTTTGTTTGTTTGTTTGTTTCTTTCTTTCTCTGTCTGTCTGTCTGTCTATCTATCTATCTGTCTATCTATGTATCTATCTACCTACCTATCTATCTATCTATCTATCTATCTACCTACCTACCTACCTACCTACCTATTCTGTATTTGTACCGCTATGAGAATGCTAATTCCATGACATTTGCTGTGTTACGTAACCATCAAGCTAATGGTGGCATACATTCACTTTCCCACACTGGGTTTAACACTGTAACTGTAATTTATTTTAACTATAAATTACTTTATATGTAACTTAATAAATATTTCAACTTAAAGCCTAAAGGCCTTATCACACCCAGTACAATTTATTTATGCAGTTCATTCAGGTGTCAGTAAATTCATTCCAATGCTGTATGACTGATGACATCTTGCACAATTTTTGGAAAATGAATACATTTTTGGAAAATGCGAAAACGTAATACTACTTTATCTGTCCTTCTTTTGAATTTGCAGACTTTCGCAGTTGACAACCAGTCACTGTTGTCTCTGGCATTGGAATTGTGACAGCTAACTTTGTCCCAGCAGCTAGAACTTTTTCACAACATCAGTAGGATTAGCCTTTTCTGCTTTGTCAGATATTTTTTAAATGTTTATTATATAGGATATTGGCATATTATATATAATATAATTCATGCAGTGAATCATCAGTGAATTCCTGATTTTTTTCATACTTCCCTGAAAATAGCAAGAAAAAACTAGAAGGGGAAGTTGAATGAACTGCTATTGCTGTGGTATCCCAGGTGGTTGCTAAGGTGTTGCTACATGGTTGCTAGATGCCTGCTGAAGTGTTGCTAGGTTGTTGCTATATCATCCATGTGGTTGCTAAGGTGTTGCTAGCCCATTGTGTGTGATCTCTTGTGGTTGCTAAGGTATCATTACGTCATTGCTATGATATCCCAGGTGGTTGGTATGGTGTTGCTAGGCCATTGCTCTGGAATCCCAGGTGATTGCTAAAGTGTTGCTAGGCTGTTGCTATGGTAAGAGGGTTGCAAGGTGTGTGTGTTTGTACTGTGTATGAGCATTTGTTGTGTATATTTAGTTTATTACTCTGTAATAACTCTAACTACTGTGTAATTGCTGTTTATTATTACTGCTATCAGTTATTGCTCCTGTGTGTATCAGTATGTGACAACTCTTTATTTACTGTGTGTTAGTCTGTATGTATGTGAGTTCTGCTGCATTCGGACTCGCTCCCTATTACAAAAATAGTGCACTATTAAAAACACATCAGGCGTCACAAATTTTAGCGTACAGACAATGAATGCATAATGCAACACTGTCTTACTGAAGTAGAAGAAGAAGGCGCTATAAGAGTGTGGAGTGATACGCATATCCTTAGAGCAGGAATACATGCGCCCAGACAGCAGGGGGAGCAAGACACCATTTTTATATACAAAAGTTGATATCAATTTTACGTAATTTTACTTTACTTGTCGTTATATATAACGACATCTTTCCACCAAAATGTCCACCTTCAGGGCTGCATGCTTAGATTTTTAGGTAACAGTAGTTCCCAAAGGAGAAATGTCTTTCTCAAGATCACATTTTCTTAGAAAAAATAAGGCATCTTGGATGCTCAGTTTCTTAATTATTTCTCTTAAACTCAGCAGAAATTATGAGCTTCACCTAAGCATTTCATTGTAAAATGTTCTGGAGATAAATGAGAAAATGAAAGGTCTTCTACACGTACAAATGCTGAAAGATTGTTGAGGAGAGCTAAAAAACTAAATGACAAACAGTTTGTCTGCTATTTACGTAATACTTCAACAGTGAGCAGCAAAATGGGCACAGGGAACATTTTTACTTTGGAAAGCATTAAAAGGGCAACCGTTAAAATACTGTGTTGCAAACTTTTACATGACTCACTGTTAATCATTTATCTTCAGCTTGGAGTGTAAACATCTTAATTTCAGCTAGTATTTAGTAAAATCTATAACAGTTCATAAGGAACACATCATACAAATGCCTGACGCTTTTTTATGAAGTAGTGCTTCTGAATGTAGTGTTCAGAGTCTTTTGATCGCTCCATACTCGTTTCCTAATCAGTCCACTATAGCGTAAATGTGAATCAGTTAACAAGTGAAGGAGTTAACAAGTGGACAATTCCGAATGCAGCTTTTGTGTATAATGTGAGGGTTGTTGTGGGGGGGCCTCTGGATGAACGCTGTCTGGAAGCCATACATCCGATCGGTCCGAAAAACACGTGCACTGTTCCCGTAGATGATCGGTGTTTGTGCCAAGTTTGGTGGTTGTAGCTAAAACGTTGCAGACTATGAAACGTTTACACATTCTGAGCACAGAACAGTGAGAAGACCAGGCCAAACCAAGCAAATGAAGATTTGCAGCTTTTGATGGGCAGTGGATTTTCACTGGGTTTAGAATCATTGTTTTTATTTGAATCTAAATCCTTGAAACTGTGTTTCATTTTCAGGCGTGAGACCAAGATGAGCTGAGGGCCCGAGAGAGATGAGCAGTTCGTCTTTCCTTGTTGTCCTTTTTCTCTTTCTTTCTTCACTTCCCTCCCTGCCTCATCGATGCGATTGACAGTAGTTCAGTCCTGCTCTTTTGACCTCTAGTGTTTGTCGTCTTCATTCATCACGTACACACACACACGGCTGAAACTTCCGATGGCCCCCTGCTGCGCTGTCCGAGCCTGACTAAGATTGATCAGCACAGAGGGAGGGGAGTGTCTGTTTGTGTCTCTGTGTCTGGGTGGGTGTATAAAAGAGTGAGTATTATTTTGATAGCTGTCGTCGGGTGTGGCAGCTCACTGACAGAAACTGTGTGTGTGTGTGTGCGTGTGTGTGTGTGCACGGTTGCCCAGTGACAGCTTTATGCGATGTCTTTGATGAACGAGGCGACCGGTAGCAAACAGGAAACAGGCTGTGTTTGTGAGTGACAGGCGAGCAGTAGCGGACACTGAGTGGGCAGTGTTTGAGGTTTTTTGTTTAGACTGGTGAGTCCAGTGTCTCCTGATACAGTGAGCGTCTCACTAAAAGCAATTAATTCTGAGACCGAAACAATCAGGGCTGGGTGATCCAAAAGCATCAACATCAGCATCTCCACCAAAGCACAGACGTCAATGCTAGATTGTAGAGCGTCCATGTGAACACTCTGTTGGTGACTGTTGATGACCATTGGCTGAGCACTAGGCCAAAAACTGAAAGCAAAAAAATAGACATACTATTGTTATTACAGTAGAGGCGTGTGCAGAGCTTTGAAGACTCCTCATCATATTATGACAGATGATTGCTTAAAAATATGATCGGCACTAAACAGGTTTAGTCTGAATTTGTACATTTTAAAAAAGTTTATGTAACTTTTTCGGCAGATGTGTATAAAAATTTCCACATCAGCCACCGTTTCCTCCAATTTATGGTTACAATTGTATGAAATTCTGGTTAAGTACTGCTACATATACAGTTTTGTGCAAAGGTTTAAACACTGCTGGTCAAAGTATAGTGAAAAAGTTAATAAGTTAATAGCTTAACTTAAATATGACATTTTTTAACATAATGTGAATTAAAATGTAAAATGTGTCTTAACTTTTGCACAGGTCCCATTTTATATGTTATTTTCCACTTCAGTAAATACACAGCAAAATGTGCAGAAATGTACAGCGTGTCCCAAAAAAATTGACATCATTTGAGATGTCAGTATCTGAGTAACTACATGTCCAGGGCAAACGAAATGAAATACAAGGTTTATTTATCAAAAGTCGAACAAGAAATTCAGAGGTATGTAGATTTTATAACCGATTTCACGAAGCTTCACAAATGTAATATTTTCCGATACTGGTGGTCGTCCAGATCCCTTTGCCCTGCACGCTGCACACTCTTGTTTGACTGTGTTCGAGCATATTCTAACACACAAAATGCCTTTTCATTTCTAGTGACCGCCATTCTTCAACCTGAAAAAAAAAAAAACATTAAAAATTAAACTTGGTTAGTTTTTACACTTTTTGTTAAAATTTGAGATCATTTGAGGGAGAATTGGCTATGTTATTAGACTGCGAAATGATGTCAGTTTTTTTGGGACACACTATGTTCTCTTTAGAGGATGTGGACCTATTTTTGCTTCAACAAAACAAGTTGACCAGGGATACCCAAATTTTGCGTATGACTGTATGTAATACCACAAAATCCATGAAAAATTATTCCTTTTTTTTTGTTTCATGTCGCACGTTTGCTTTGTTGTTTGTAAATTTTTCATAAATTCAATAATGTGGCTACAGGAGGCTCGAGGACTTTGCTTTTCACTTCTGTTGTTTTGCTGTGTTCTGCATATTGAGCAGGATATCGTGGTTGAAGTGCTATCAAACCTGCACAGGAGAAGTTCTTGGGCTTCGTACCTCCTTTTGATACTTGACATGAACAGAAGCTATAATCTCTTACCTAATGTCCCCCATAGAAACTGTGAAATAGTTCCATCCTGCCAACATTTTCTCTGTTTATCTACTGCAGCTCAAGCTGTTTGAACACATCTCCACTGACCAGCACAGTAGAGCGAAAGGAACCGTTTGTACATAATATTCTCATTTTCATTTTCATTATCATTAAAATCATTTATAAAGTCTTTGGGTGCTTTCATGGCTAGCTTGTTTGGCCTGCAACCTTCGGACGTTTCAGTTTGGACCGAACCAAAATAGCAGGTTTGAAAGGTGCCTCGGACTGTGGTCCAGAATAAAGGACCAAAATTTGGTTCGAGCAAAAGAGGTGGTCTCGGTCCGGATCAAACTGAAGCATGGTTTGTTTTTTATTGCAGTGTGAAAACTTTTTTTTGAATGGTTCTGACTTTTTGACCAGTTACAATAGGTTGAGGCAGACTATCATCACCCATTAAACACTAGAAGAAGAAAAAGAACAGGAAGAGGAGTAAAAATGAGTCATGGTAGGACACAGGGAGAGGAGACGTAACATTGTAATAAACTTGGTGTGACGAAAAGGTCAAAAGTCAACTTGACAATGCCTTATTGTACACGTTATTTTCAGAGATGATGGGAGAGGGAATGTGCATTTTTCTCCATTCAAACGGAAAAGGCTGTCTGCCGAATTGCTCCTCTACAGACCAATCAGTGTCAGGTACAGGGAGATGCAACCCACGTATGTGATGATTGTATGTGAAACCAAAACTAACCAGATCAAATTTATGCAGTGTAACAAAAACATGGACCTTGGTTTAGACCTTTTTCCAGACTTTGACACTTTGCTGCAGACCTTTTTAGTTTCTTTTTTGGTCAGAATTTTCATCTGAAAGTCTCATTTTCAGTAGCCAGATTTCAGTGCATCCCTGTTAGTAGTGGGTGATGTACTGCTTCATCCGTCAATTGGTCCGTTCAGTCAGTTGATTAAAAAAATGAATTAATCGTGAACTTTAGTTTTATCTAAACTTCCATCTGAAAACTTTTTTAAATGAAACTTGCTGTTCAGCACACCAGGGGATGTTTCCTCAGTCATCGCGTTATCTGTTAGACCTTTCAGTAAACCTGTGCGGGAATTATGGGAGGAACTTGGGGTCAAACTTGGTGTAATGATTAATTTGCGTTAAAACAATAAAAAAAATAACATTAAGGCTTCCAGATTAATCGTGATCGTTAACGCATTAACGTTGACAGCCCTGATATATATATATATATATATATATATATATATATATATATATGTATATATATATATGTCATTACCGTTATACAGGAATGCAAATATGTGCAGATAACACAACATACAAACAGTGCAAAATACTCTGATTTCCTCACCGCTTGTATAGCAAATTGCAGCTTGAGGTAAGTTAGTCCAGTACAAATGATTTCTTTGCTAGAGCTGAACAGATATATTGGTTTGCAGATAATATTGGTCGATACTGATGATTTGCAGTGTTGTTTGTATCAAAAATGAAAATGTCACTGATAGTTACTGACTGTTTCGGTCATGGCATCGCCGCAATTCGAACTTGCAATCTCCTGACAGATGGGCACAAAAGCTGAGTTAAATGTTGAAATTTAAATATTTAATTCAACATTTATTTTAATATGTAAATAATAAAGTCCACAGTGTCTACGTTATTGCTGTACAAAAAATAATAATTTACATGCGGTTGTACAGTGTTCATTCAGCACTGATGATGCCCATGATGTACTTATTGTGACATAACTTATCACAGTGCGACACCATACAGTCATGATGCCCACTTCTAGTTGCAGTAAATTGATTATTGCATCATGATTAGTGCAAAATATATAAGTAAATTAACGGATAAATGATCATACTGGGCTTGTTATGTGGTTACATGGTTAACTGAGCCTGGAAACAAGCAAATAATCCACAATGAAGGAGCAAATCTTAATGAACAGAAATATTTGGAAAGAGATTAAATACTTAAATACTGGCTTGATTTGCTCACTTCACAGCTGAATGACTGACTGTGGATAATTGTGCCATTCATATAACTGGACGTTGATCCTCACTTAGGAAACACTCAGGAAATGTGGTAAATAAAAGCTAAACTGAAGAAGTGGCAGCTTCTAAAATCAGAACGTGGGGGTTTTGGGGGGCTTGAGGAGCTGGAGACTGAGCGCGGCTGATTTAAGTGTGTGTGTGTGTGTGTGTGTGTGTGTGGGTCATGTCTGTGCACGTCTGTGTGAGTTGAGAGGTGTGTTTGTGGTGGGGAGACGTGGGTCTCTATTTGAAGTGTGGGTTGAGAGGTGTGTGTTAGTGTGTGTGGAGACTGTGAGTCTCTGTCTGAAGTGTGTGAGGTGAGGTGTGCTGAAAACTGAGAGAGAGAGAGAGAGAGAGAGAGAGAGAGTATTTGTATGTTATATATATTTGTATATTCTTGTTGTGAGATCCTGTCTCTCCTCTCCTGCCTGTCTTGCTTCTTCTTTCTTTCTTTCTTTCTTTCTTTCTTTCTTTCTTTCTCTTTCTTTCTTTCTCACTTGTCCTACTCTTTCTCTCTCTCCTTTTTTTCTGTCTCCTCCTTTTGTCTTTCTTTCTTTCTTTCTTTCTTTCTTTCTTTCTTTCTCTTTCTTTCTTTCTCACTTGTCCTACTCTTTCTCTCTCTCCTTTTTTTCTGTCTCCTCCTTTTGTCTTTCTTTCTTTCTTTCTTTCTTTCCCATTGTCTATCTTTTTCTTTCTCTTTTACTCTTGTCTTGCTTTTTCTTGCTCCCTTTCTTTTTCTATCCCATCCATTCCTCTCTCTCTCTCTCTTCTTTCTTTCTTTCTTTCTTTCTTTCTTTCTTACCTGTCTTACTCTTTCTTTTTCCCTTTCTTTTTCTCTTCTCCTTTTTTCTCTTTTTCCCTTTCTTTCTTTCTTTCCCATTATCTATCTTTTTTCTTCTTCTTTTACTCCCGTCTTGCTTTCTCGCATCCATTCCTCTGTTTCTCTTTCTTTTTGTCTTTCTCTTTTCTTTCCTTCTTTCTTTCTTTCTTTCCTTCTTACCTTACTCTTTCTCCCTTCCTTTCATGTTCTTTCTCATCCTTTTGTCTCTCTCTGTTTCCTTCTCTTTCTTTCTTTCCCATTATTCATCACTTTTTTCCTTCTTTGTGAAATTCCTCTCTTGCTCTTTCTTGCGCCATTTTTTTTCTATCCCATCCATTCCTCTCTTCCTCTCTGTCTATCTTTATTTTTTCTTCTATCTATCTATCTATCTATCTATCTATCTATCTATCTATCTCTCTGTCTGTCTGTCTGTCTGTTGCTCCTATCTTGCTCTTTCTCTCTATCTTTATTTTTTCTTTTATCGGTTTGTCTGTCTGTCTATCTATCTGTCTGTCTGTCTATCTATCTATCTATCTATCTATCTTTCTGTCTCTGTCCCTGTTTCTGTCTCTGTCTGTCTCTCTCCCTCTCTTTCTCTCCCTCTCTCTCTCCCTCTCTCTCTCTCTCTCTCCCTCTCTCTCTCTCTCTCTCACTCCCTGCCGGCTGGTGTTTTTATTTTCCTCCTCTCTTTTATCTCCTCTCTTCCTGTTGATGTAAGCGTCTCCCTCTCTGCCAGCTGTGTGTGTGTGTGTGTGTGTGTATTATCCTCCCTCTTTAACCGCTGCTGTGCTGATTGCTGATTGCTGAGGAACTCCAGGGCCTGCTGGAGCCTCACAGTGTCTCTGGGCTGTCAGAAGTGGACTAACTGCATCATATCACTGGAGTAAAATCTGGATTTGGCCTTCACTTCTGGCCATTCACATTCTTCAGCAGAATAGTGCATGATGTCTTTAACTGAAGAGCTTTACATGAGTCTTTTGTGGTTATTTTTTTCTTCCTGTGTTGCAGGGTCCTGAGTTACTGAGTAAATATGTGGGAGAGTCTGAGCGGGCTGTTCGGGAGGTGAGTGTGTGTGTGTGTGTGTTTGTGTAACCCTGCGTGTGCATGTGTTTGGGTAAATGCTGATTAATCCTGTGTGTGTTTTGACGGTAGGTTTTCCGGAAAGCGAGGGCAGTGGCTCCCTCTATTGTGTTCTTTGATGAGATTGATGCTCTGGCTGTAGAGAGGAGCAGGTAGGATGTTCAGCTTTCTGTTCTTAAATTGAACTCCTTACAGGTTTACACACAACACACAACAGGTTTTTAATATAAACCCCTTTAACAGAGCAAACCAGTTCCATATGTAAACCCATTGCATGCAACAAATCTGTTTTAGGTGTAACAAATTTACAGAACTTCCCTTACACACAACAGATCAGTTCCATATGTAAACCCTTTAATCATAGTAGATCAATTCCATCTGTAAACTCGTTACTTACACATAACAAACCTCTTTTCGGTGTAACTTTACAAGAAATAATCCTTTAAAAACCAATTTCAGAAATAAAACATATTTCTGAAATTAAACTTAACAAACCAGGTCAATATGTAAACCAAGTACACACAACAAACCAGTTCAGATATTACAACTTAACAAATACACACGCATAAACTCCTTGTATACAGCAAACCAGTTTTAGAAATAAACCTTTATATACAACAAACCAGTTTCAGACATGAAGCCCTTATACATAAGAAACCAGTTTCAGGTATAGACCCTTGGACATGACAAACCAGTTTCAGATATAAAGCCCTTAAAAACAACAAACCTCTTTCAGATACGAACCCCTCATAAACTATTAACCAGTTTCTGATACAAACTCTTTACACACAACAAACCGGTTTCAGAAAAGAGCTCCTCATAAACAATTAACCAGTTTCAGATACAAAGTTCTTATACACAGCAAACCAGTTTCAGATGGGAACCTCCTTATACACAACAAACCAGTTACAGATATAACCCCTTTAGATATAAAGTTTCAGATATAAAGCCCTTATCCACAGTGAAACCGGTTTCAAATGTAAACCCTTCATTTGCAGTGAACCAGTTTCAGATACACACTCCATATACAGAACAAACTCGTTTCACATATAAGTGATTATACACAAGAAATCAGTTTCAAACATAAACGCCTTATACGCAAGAAACCAATTTCAGATATGACCCCTTTATACACAACAAACGAGTTTCAGATATGAACCCTTTATGCACATAAAAAACAGCTTCAGATCTTGAACCCCTTATACACAGTGAATCAGTTTCAGATATAAACCCCTTATGCACAAATATTACTCTTATGCACAAAAAATGGTTTTAAAAACCCTATACACAACAAAACAGTTTCAGATATGAACCTCTTATACAAAGCAAACTAGTTTTGAATATGAACCCCTTATACACAACAAACGAGTTTCAGATATATGTGCTTATGCACAAGAAATCAGTTTCAAACATAAACGCTTTATACATAAGAAACCAATTTTAGATATGAACACCTTATACACAACAAACAAGTTTCAGATATGTGCCCTTCATACACGTAGATATTAGCTTCAGATATTGAACCCTTTATACACAGTGAGTCTGTTTTAGATATAAACCTCTTACATACACAAATATTACTCACTCACGCAGAAAACAAAAGTTTTGAAAAACCCTATACACAACAAAACAGTTTAGATATGAACCTCTTGTACACAACAAACTAGTTTCGATTATGAACCCCTTATACACAACAAACCTGTTTCAGATATAAACCTCTATACACAATGAACCAGTTTGAGAGATAAACACCAGTTTCAGATGTAAATCCGTTATATGCAACTAACCAGATTGAGATTCAAACCCCTTATACACAAAAACAAATTCCAGAATTAACTCCTTGTATACAGCAAACCAAATACAAATTCTAGTACGCAATGAACTAGTTTCAGATATAAACTGCTATATAACATGAACCAGTTTCAGATATAAACCCCTTATACACAACAAACCTGTTTCAGATATAAACACCTTTATACACAATGAACCAGTTTTAGAGGTAAACCCCAGTTTCAGATATAAATTCCTTTATACACAATGAACCAGTTTTAGAGATAAACCCCAGTTTCAGATATAAATCCCTTTATTCACAATGAACCAGTTTTAGAGATAAACCCAAGTTTCAGATATAAATCCCTTTATACACAATGAACCAGTTTCAGAGATTAACCCCAGTTTCAGATATAAATCCCTTTATACACAATGAACCAGTTTCAGAGGTAAACCCCAGTTTCAGATATATATCCTTTAATACACAATGGACCAGTTTCAGAGATTAACCCCAGTTTCAGATATAAATCCCTTTAATACACAATGAACCAGTTTCAGAGATTAACCCCAGTTTCAGATATAAACCCCTATACACAATGAACCAGTTTCAGAGGTAAACCCCAGTTTCAGATATATATCCTTTAATACACAATGGACCAGTTTCAGAGATTAACCCCAGTTTCAGATATAAATCCCTTTAATACACAATGAACCAGTTTCAGAGATTAACCCCAGTTTCAGATATAAACCCCTATACACAATGAACCAGTTTCAGAGATTAACCCCAGTTTCAGATATATATCCTTTAATACACAATGAACCAGTTTCAGAGATTAACCCCAGTTTCAGATATAAATCCCTTTATACACAATGAACCAGTTTCAGAGATTAACCCCAGTTTCAGATATATATCCTTTAATACACAATGGACCAGTTTCAGAGATTAACCCCAGTTTCAGATATAAACCCCTATACACAATGAACCAGTTTCAGAGATTAACCCCAGTTTCAGATATAAATCCCTTTATTCACAATGAACCGGTTTCAGAGATTAACCCCTGTTTCAGATATATATCCTTTAATACACAATGGACCAGTTTCAGAGATTAACCCCAGTTTCAGATATAAACCCCTATACACAATGAACCAGTTTCAGAGATTAACCCCAGTTTCAGATATAAATCCCTTTATTCACAATGAACCAGTTTCAGAGATTAACCCCAGTTTCAGATATATATCCTTTAATACACAATGGACCAGTTTCAGAGATTAACCCCAGTTTCAGATATAAACCCCTATACACAATGAACCAGTTTTAGAGATAAACCCCAGTTTCAGATATAAACCCCTATACACAATGAACCAGTTTCAGAGATAAATCCCAGTTTCAGATATGAATCCCTATATACACAATAAACCAGTTTCAGAGATAAACCCCAGTTTCAGATATAAATGCCATATAAGCAACAAACCAGTTTGAGATTCAAACCCCTTATACACAAAAAAACAAATTGCAGAATGAACCCCGTATATACAACAAACCAGATATAAATTCTAGTACTCAGTGCACCAGTTTCAGACACAAACACCTTATACCCAGTGAACCGGCTACAGGTTAATATAAAACACTGACTTTTATATGAATTCTTTAGGGGTTATCGATTCATGTTTTAAATAAATGAATACAAATAAACTTTGAAATGAAGGTTTTCCACTAATTTCTTCAGCACAAACACAAACTCTTACAAATGTTCAGTCACATACACTCTCACACACAGACACACACACAGAGGAACATCTGTGCTCTAGAGACACACACAAGCATGTCTTTGTTTCCGTGGAGACAGATGGAGGAGAGAATGGAATGGGGCATACTTCCTGTCCAAAGTGTGTGTGCGCGCAAGTGTGTGCGCGAGTGGTCACTAATCCTGTTCTGCAGTTACAGAATGCAGTGTTGATGTTTGGATGATCAATGTTTAAAACTTCCAGTCAATCTTGGTATAAGTAAATCGAGAGAGTACCAGCTTTTCATGTGTTTAATTTCCAGTCAAAACCATCGTATAAAAAATGTTCATTTTCAGTATAAAGGAAAAAAGGCAGAAAACATATTTAACAGAGAATTACACAGGAGCCTCAACAAGTAAATATAATGTCATTTTCTTAGACTTGCTTTTTGTTTTTCAAAGAAATTTGTGAGAATGTTTTCGACTTTTACTGGAAATAAACTGGGAAAATAGTCTGCCCGGTCATTCCTGCTCAGATATACTGCGCTTTGAGATCATCTTAAATTCAGCCATGAATATGGCTGACACTGCAGTAGCCTGTCGACGAGAGAGAGAGAGAGAGAGAGAGAGAGAGAGAGAGAGAGAGAGAGTTCCTGTCAGCACATTGATGCACTAGTCACTTTATTAATTAAAGCAAGTACTGGGCCAAACTAATAAACACACATTTTATGGCTTTCGTTGGCTTCAGACTTTACATAAACACACACACACACACACACACACTGTGTCTCCCATACACACATACTTGCACACTCTTGCTCTTACTCACATTTTCTGCTGAGTCAGTCTTCATTTTGAGAATTGACCTGCGAGACAGATGTAGGGATGAATTTATTTGTCCACTCTTTCATTATCAACCTTTCTTTCCTTCTTTGGGTTCATTTGCCACCTTATTGGTCACAGTTCAGCAAGATTAGGACTTTGTTGTTTATAATAGGGATGAGCATTGTAACTAAATTTGATATTCAGCTGTAAGAGAGGATAGTCCACTGGGAACGAAAAATAAAAATGGAAAAATGGACGTTGGCTATAATGAATGTGGGGTCTTACTTTTTTAGGTTCTAGCGCTGGTGTTACAAGACTGAGCAAATTTATTAGCAAAACATCTAGTTTTTCCCTTTCTCAATGGCCGGTTGCACTTACTGTACTTAATTTCAAACATAGGCTAGTTCCAGTTTGGTCACCCTAGCCAAATTACATATTTGTTTATATTTTTGAAGTGAAAATAAAAACAAAAAAACCTCTACAGTAAGCTGTTAAAAAAAGGGCAATTCCAGAACATAATAAATTCTGACTCTTCAAATTTTGTACTTCCAATAAACCATGAGCTCCTCTAAGCAGCTGGCTGAGAATCTGAAAATGAAGCCAGTTGATGACTACAAAGCCGGGAAAGGCTATAAAAAAATATCAGTGTTTCCAGATCACAGTTTCCATGTCATTATGAAATAGCAGTTAAGCGAAACTGTGACAGTCAAGCAACCAAGAAAACTTTCAGATAGAACTACATGTATGCTGGTCAGAAAGGCAAAGCAAAACACCCCCTATATCAGCAAAGGACCAGCAGGAAGGTTTGGCTGACACAGGTGCGGTAGTGCACCACTTAGCTGTACAGCTTTGCTTGCACAAACATGATCTGCATGTGTCAGCAGAAGAAAATCTTACCAGCGACCGCATTACAAAAGTCAGTGTCTGATGTACACAAAACAACGTCTAGGTAAGCCGGAGGCGTTTTGGAAACAAGTGCTGGGGACTGTTGAAGTAAAAATAGAACTCTTTGGCCACAATCTCCAGTAGTATATTTGGAGAAAAATAAGGAGCAGCATTTGATGATAAGAACACCTTGCCAACTGTTAAGTATGAGATGGATCTATTATGCTTTGGGGCTGTGTGGTAGCCAGTGGCACAGGATAGGGGGAAGAAAGGAATTCCACCAAATATTGGCAGATTTTGGAAGCAAATGGGACACTTAGTCGAGAAACTGAAAAGAGTCTTAACAACAGGACACTGATCCAAAATATGCCTTAGAATCCACTGAAAATTCCTAAAAAAAGAGTAGACAGACTTTTAGCTGACTACAAAAGCATTTGCAAGCTGTGATATCCGTCAAAAATACTGACCTACAGTGGTGCTTGAAAGTTTGTGAACCCTTCAGAATTGCTCTATTTCTGCATAAATTTGACCTAAAACTTCATCAGATTTTCACACAAGTCCTAATAGTAGATAAAGAGAACCAAATTAAACAAATGAGACTAAAAGATTAGACTTGGTCATTTGTTTATTGAGGAAAATGATCCAATATTACAGATCTGTGAGTGACAAAAGTATAAGAACCTTTGCTTTCAGTACCTGGTGTGACCCCCTTGTGCAGCAATAACTGCGACTAAACGTTTCTGGTAACTGTTGATTAGTCCTGCACATCGGCTTGGTGTAATTTTAGCCAATTCCTCCATACAAAACAACTTCAACTCTGTTATGTCGGTGGGTTTCCTCCCATGAACTGCCTGCTTCAGGTCCTTTCACAACCTTTCTATAAGATTAAGATCAGGACTTTGACTTGGCCATTCCAAAACATTAACTTTGTTTCCTTTTAATTACTTTTTGGTAGAACGACTTGTGTGCTTAGAGTTGTTGTTTTGCTGTATGACCCACGTTCTCTTGAGTTTCAACTCACAGACAGATGTCCTGATATTTTCCTTTAGAATTTGCTGTTATAATTCAGAGTTCATTGTTCCATCAATGATGGCAAGCCGTCCTGGCACAGATGGAGCCAAACAGGCCCAAACCATGATGCTACCACCACCGTGTTTCACAGATGGGATAAGGTTTTTATGCTGGAATGCAGTGTTTTCCTTTCTCCAAACATAACGTTTCTCATGTAAACCAAAAAGATTAATTTCCCTTCAAGCTTGTCCATGTGATCTTTAGCAAACCGCAAACAGGCAGCAGTGTTTTCTTTTTGGAGCAGAGCGGCTTTTTCCGTGCAAACCTGCCATGCACACCATGGTTGTTTTGTGTTCTCCTTATGGCGGACTCATGAACATGAACAGTAGCCTGGGTTCCTTTGTGACCTCCAGACTGTTACACGCCTTGCTATAGGTGTGATCTTTGTTGGTCGATCGCTCCTGGGGAGCCTAACAGCGGTCTTGACTTTCTTCCATCAGTCTGTATGACTGTGGATTGGTGGAGTCCAAACTCTTTAGAGATGGTTTTGTAACCTTTTCCAGCCTGATGAGCATCAACAACTCTTCTTCTGAGGTCATCAGAAATCTCCTTTGTTCATGCCATGATACTCTTCCAGAAACATGCATTGTGAAGATCCCCTGTTAAGATAGATCCCTGTTCTTTAAATAAAACAGGGTGGTCACTCACACCTGATTGCCATCCCATTGATTGACACCTGACTCTAATTTTACCTTCAAATTGTCTGCTAATCCTAAAGGTTCACATACTTTTGCCACTCACAGATGTAAAATATTGGATCATTTTCTTCAATAAATAAATGACCAAGTCTAATCTTTTTGTCTCATTTGTTTAATTTGGTTCTCTTTATCTACTGTTAGGACTTGTGTGGAAAGCTAATGAAGTTTTAGGCCAACTTTTTGCAGAAATATAGAAAATTCTGAAGAGTTCACAAACTTTCAAGCACCACTGTATTAGGTTGTCCAAACGTTTGCACACGCTACAGGTTAATAAAAAAATAATAATAATTGTGCATTAATATTTGCAGATTTTTTTTTTAAAAGGTCATTTACTTCTTTTCATTTCTGAAATCAACAAAATATGTAATTTGGCAAGGAGTGCCCCATCTGTTGCATACAATTATAGGCTTGTTTGTGTGTGTGTGGCTATAGGTGTGTGTGTGTGTGTGTGTGTGTGTGTGTGTGTGTGTGTGTGTCTGTGTGCGTGTATGTGTTAGAGATAGATTGATCTGCTGCTGAGTACAGTGCACTCACTCATATTTCATCAGTTGTGCTGTTGCGTGCTGAGATTGATGGATGGAGCCTGGCTGGATGTGAAGAATTGCAAAAGCTTTCTGCAGAAACTACAGAACAAATGCACATTCACTTAGTGAAATTAGTCTAAAATATTGGGCAAGGGATCAGCAAATACGCACATTATTATTATTATTATTTCCCAGAATTTGAATTTTCAGTGTCCAGTTTGTCCTCATTACCAGGTCAGTCTAACTATAGTGAAATGCACAGAGAAATCAGCAAAACAAATGGCCAGTTTTAAGTTCTGTAAGCTTATTTAGGGCACAAGATTTGCTAAAATGAGCCAGATTCATCCAACTCAGTTGTACACTATGCAGAAGTGCACAGCGTGGAATATGGAGTCCTGTTCATAAAGCCCCATTGTGGTGCACCGGTATCTCTGTACAGCTGTGGTATTTTTACACCACTATTATTGTTTTTATTATATGATATTTATAGCATATTTTATTTATTTTGTATTTTGTAGCTCGTCCCGGTCCAGTGGTGTAGGTGACCGTGTGTTAGCCCAGTTGCTAACGGAGATGGATGGAATTGAGCAGCTTAAAGACGTCACTGTTCTTGCTGCAACCAACAGACCGGACATGATCGACAAGGTAGGGTGCTTTGCTCTTATGCACACTATGCTGTTACATACTACATACCTTATGCTCACTAGGCATGATTGACAAAGACAAGTGCTTCTTCTCAAGTGCACTTTATTCTAGTGCACTTTGTGCAGGTGTGCGATGCTTTTTTACTAACCAAATGACATGAATGACAAAGGCACTACTGTATGTGTACTTCATTATAGTGCATTATGCTGTCATACGTATTTAGACATGATCAACAAGATAGATACTTCTTTTTTTTCAAGCTTACTTCATTTTAAATGACGCTACACCAAAACACACATTTTTTGCATTAACAGAACAAAACCTTTTATCTGCAACGTGGTAACTTTACAGGTGAAGGAAAAATTTACTTTACTTTTAATGTAAGTCTATGGAACCAGACTTTTTCAAAATCATTTTGGGCCATTTTTTCTGTTCTGTTCATCATGAAATTTCCATACAATATAAAGGCCAACAGTTATTTTGAAATTATGTCAAAAACTGAAAAACGACAGAAATGAAGGTACAAGGTTTTGTTCTGACAGCAGCGATATTCTTTCACTAACGGGACTTGAATGGCTAATTAGGGTGCTTTTTTTCAAGTGTGCTTCATTCAAGTGCATTCTTGAATATCATTTTGTGCTCAACAAACTTGATCAACAAGGTGAGGGACTGTAATACACTGCACGATCTTGAGTACTCCCTAGTACACACTACACTGTTACACATAGTTTTTCTCACAGACGAGGTAAGTTGTTTCTTTTCAAGTGCACTACATTCTAGTGCTGGTATACGCTAAAAACTTCTAGTAACACACCATGAATAACAAATTACAGTGCTTGTTTTGAAGTGTGCTTCGTTCTAGTGCAGTCTTTGCTGTTATGCACTATATTCTTTTCGGTCATCAAGCATTATCAACAAGGTAAGGGTGCTTCTTTTCAAGTGTACTTCATTCAAGTGTGTGCTGTATCGTTCGACTTCATGCCCTTTCAGTGACCAGACATGAATGATGAGATAGGGCGCCCCTTTTTGAGGGTACACTGATACACACTGCATACATTTTCTTTGACCACATATGATCAACAAGGTAGAGTGTTTTGTTTCAACCATACTGTCTGAAGTGCAAGCTATACTGTTATATGCTACACGGTCTTTTGACTGATCGTACTTGAATGACAAGATAGGGCTCTTCTTTTCAAGTGTACTTCATGCTAGTGGACACTACACTGTTACACATACTTTTTCTGACCAATAAGTTAAAGGGTTTCTTTTCAAGCACACTACATTCTCTCGCACTCTGTGCTGTTATACACTAAATACTCTCTCACTAACCAAAAATGCTTGACGAGTTACGGTGGTTCTTTTCAAGTGTGCTTCATTCTAATGCACTCTTTGCTGTTATAGTCCTTTTTGCTCACTAGACATGATTAAAATAAGTGCTTCTATTCAAGTACACTTCTTTCTAGTACACACTACACTGTTACACGTACTTTTTCTTAGACCAGATTTGAACAACAAGGTTTCGTTTTAAGTGTACTTCATTCTAAAGTGATTTGCGCCATCATTGAAACATCAAAATGTCAGTGGAAAGTGAGAATTCTAGACTTTCAGTCTGTACTACATTTTCAATTGTTATTATGGTTTTCATTTCATGAAAAGTTATTGTTTTATGCAGACTTGTTTTGTAAAACATCCTTTTTTTGGATGGAAATTGAAAAATTTTAAATCTGTCAGTTTAAAATGTTAATTAAAATGCAAAAGTAAATTGATTATATATGTTATATTTATGTTACCACCAATGTTATTGATTATGTAATTACTTTTAGATGGTAGTAGAAGTATAATGGTTAATAGATACTCCCAAGCAGACACATGGTCTTCCGCCTCCTGCAGTGTGCGTGTCAGTTTGTGTATTTTGTCCTGTGAGTGGTCAGGATGGACGTGATTGACAGTGGCCCTCCTGTCAGCCCCAGGGGCTCTAGGCCTCTCTCAGGTCCTCAGTGGTCAGCAGAATGCCTCTGACTGGACACCAGCAGGACGTTTGAGCCCCTGGGCTTCGCAACCACTACACTTCCTCCTGTCCTGTGGCTTTGGTATTATAAGCTTCGTTTGGTCTGGTGTGAGTTTTGGTGCCATACTGTGTGTGTGTGTGTGTGTGTGTGTGTGTGGGCAAGCCACTGTGTCACAGACCTCCCTAAGACAACTGACACATCAGATTTTACACACACACACGCGACTCTGTTTGAATGTCAAACACAACACTGTCCTGTTGGTAGACCAAAGCAGCCAAATGGATTGGCAGCCCACCGCCCCAGCCACAACCCACCACTCTTATCCATGTGCACACTAACCCCCCGCCCCCACACACACAAGTTTGTGTCATTTTATTCAATAACAGGATGTGGGGTCATACATGTCCAATATATTTATAGTCAGATGCAGTTTGGGTGTCCCTGGTTAATTTTGTATATTATTGTTAATTTTCTAAACAAAAATAAGATTTTAATGCACAGTTACTGTTTGTTTGATGAAGTTAACATATTGGAAAAAAATAGTGAAACGTGGCAAAATTGTGCAAAGATTATGGCACATTTTATGTTCTATGCTTTATTTTTTCAACATGTTAAACTCAGCAAATAAATAGAAATTGTGGATTAAAATTGGCCAAAAGTTGGCCATATTTAATTTTTTTACTTTTTACTTTTTCTAATTTTTTGAAAATCAACAAAACATGTAATTTGATTAGGGTATTCAAACTTTTGCTTACAACAAATACACTCACTCTGCACTTTATTAAGAACACCTATATACCTCTCATTCATTCATTCACTCATTCATTCAGTTATCTAATTTGCCAACATGAGGAGGCAGTGCAGTGCATAAAATCATGCAGATACAGGCCAGAAGCTTCAGGTAATGATCAAATCAACCATTAGAATGAATGTGATCTCAGTGATTTTGACCATGGCATGATTGTTGGTGCTAGACGGGCAGGTTTGAGTATTTCTGTAACTGGTGATCTCCTGAGATTTTCACGCACAACAGTCTCTCGAGTTACTCAGAATGGCACAATAAAGAAAGAACATCCAGTGAGTGGAAGTTCTGTGGATGAAAATGCCTTGTTGATGAGAGAGGGCAACAGAGAATGGCCAGAATGGTTCGAGCAGGCGGAATGACTACAGTATCCCTGCTAAATACTCTATACAGCCGTCGTAAGCAGAAAAACATCTCAGAATGTGCAACACGTCGAACCTTGAGGTGGATGGGCTACAACAGCAGAAGACCATATTGAGTTCCACTTCTGTCAGCCAAGAACAGGAAGCTGAGGCTGCAGTGGGCACAGGCTCAACAAAACTAGACTGAAAAAAATGTAGCATGGTCTGGTGAATATTGTTTCTGCTAAAGCACGCAGATGATATGTTCAGAATTTGGCCTCAAGAGCATGAATAATTGGACCCAACCTTCCTTGTCTCAACAGTCCAGACTGGTGGAGGTGGTGTAATGGTGTGAGAGATGTCTTCTTGGCATACTTTGGGCCTGTTAATAATAGTTGTTCATTGTCTGAGTGCCACAATCCTTTTGAGTATTGTTGCTGAGCATGTGCATCTCTTCATGGGCACATATATGTAGATGTTACTATTTTGTATTCCTTTATAATTTAAGCCTTTGAAATCTCAGGCTTATTGCAAACTAAGGCTTATTATTCAGAGACAGGGACTTCAGTGTAAACTGGTTGGGTAATAAAAATTTGGGCTATATATTATATGTAGATTTTCGTTTACAAATTCTATTATCATTATAACAATTTGAGTGAAAAGTAGAATGTTAAAAATTTTAATGTGAATTTCAGAATTTTGTAGTATTTGATGTCCTGCTTTTGATTTAATGACAGCATGCATTTGAGCAGGCACAGACTCCACAAGCCTCTGATGAACACGAGCTTCAATAAAAGAGATAAATTCTGAAAAAAATAAAAGCTGACCTTTTGGTACAAAGGCCTCAACATGGTCAGTGTCACAAATCTACGTAAATTTATTGGTGGTTTAGAAATAGTGCAGAATCTTGAATATTGCCTCATTTTACATGTCATAACTTTTCTTTGTTTAAATTTTTTCCAAATTCCAAAGTGTTCTGTTGTTTATTTCCAAGTTTAGCTGAAAAAAATCATCAATGTGGTCTCATACTTTTGGACCCCACTGTGTAACATAAGCACTATATATACCTAAATACCTAAATAGCTAAATCATTGTGCCCTTTCAGTCGGTCCTGTAGTGCAGTCTTGTTTTTTCTCTTGTTTTTCTACATAGGATGTTTTTGTCCTGAAAATGTATGAGAACAAACGCACCATACACTCATACTGTCAAACCTCACCTTCCTGCCCACCAGAACCCCCAACCCCGTGTCTCTGCAGTTCCTGCCAAACTGTCCCTGTAGAGTATTACCATATAAACAAAGAGCCTGGCGGGGTTAATAGAAGTTTGTGCGTGAGAGAGAACAGAGAGGTGTTTGGGTGTTAATGTGCCTCTTGTGTGCTTGATGTGATTGATGTGTCAGAAGGCTGCTGGTGTCCTGTTTATTTGATGGCTGTTGAAAGAGAAGATGGCTGCAGAGAGGAATTCACTTCAATTCAGAATATTTCTTGTTTTTTTTCTTGTTTTGCGACAGTATGTATATTATAGACAGTGATCGTAATGTTTTATAATGTTTTATAAAATGGCAAAATATTTAGTTACTAAAATGCTTCAAAATACAATTTTAAAATGAAGATAGGAACATAAATTATATGAAGTATAAAAATATGTATTTTCTCTCATTTGGTATGACAGTGGCAGACTAATTCCACAGATGTTTTAAAATTTCTGCAGCTTCTCAGAAATTGTAGTCTTCTCAGTAAAAAAAAAAGAGAACGATAAAGAGAGATAACCGAAGAAACATGTATAAAGGCAAGCAAAAGAAATTAAGAATGAGACTGAAAATGAGAGAGAGATGCAGAGAACGAGAGA